GATGGCCGCTTCAGATATATTTTATGTGTAATTTTCCATTTTAGAGAGAATTTTAAAATGAATAACGAGATATCATAAGAAGCCTTTACGAAGAGCAAAATGCTTGCCTTTCATAGATCTGTTAGGACAAGCTTGGTAATAAATTAAGAACTAGCAATATGAGAAGAGAAGGAAAGGTAAATATTTTTAATATTTATTTTGTAAAATAAAAATACAATAAGTAAATTGCACGCCTTAAAGGTAATGAAATAAAAGCATGGGTAATTTTAAACAGCAGAAGTTAATAAAAATAGGTAGAAATGTGCGACTTCAAAACGTGTGTAGTCTATAACAGCTGGACAGACAGAAATCTCTCACAGCAAGATAACAAACACACACAAATTACACACAAACTAAAACAAGATTTACGATAAAAACTTAAGCCTAGACATTTACAATATCAGTATTCAGTATAACAGATTTAACTATCTGTATTTTCTATAAATTACAATAACCTTGAGGGTAAATAAACAAGTAGAAACTACCTAATTTCATACTTATGAGTATTTATAATAAACTTATAGGCATCTCTTGGAAAGTAACATGTGAAAATAATTACACTAGAAAGCAAATCTTGAAGAATTCAATGGTTACTTTAATATTTTTGTCTTATTTATTTATTTTTATTAAAAAAAAATTAACAAAAAAATGTGCATTATTCTTTAGGTTCCCATCCACCTCCAAAAGCTAAAAAAAGGTTTTACTTACCTTGAATCCAGCTCAGCATGCCCTCTTTTAACATCACGAGAACCATGCGAAAGTCCAGGCTTCTCATACTGCCAATACCACGCATGCTGGGTCTAACTAGCACCCTGACACACAAAAGCAAATTTCTCTGGATGTGAAGCGTTTCAAGCATAAATGCTGACCATCCAGCATCCTACCACCATGATCACTTCTAAGCAGAGGTGGTCATGTTGGTTGGAGTAACCATTTAAATGTGTTCTGTATTTCTATAAATGGAACAATGTTTCATGTATTAATTGGCCCTAGCAGCAGCCTTATAATGTATGTACATTCAGGTGAGCACAAACCTGTTTTTATATGTAAATATATTTGGGAGTCCAGGCCAACTTCTATGTATTTTCACCCCTCCCTGTCACAGGTGTCTCATTCCAGGGCCCTATTTAACCTTGCCCTGCAGAGAGCCCCTGGGTTTTTTATTCCCAAGTGGATTATTCTTATAAGAGCAGGCACATACTTACTAGGATAGGACCTGCCGAATTGGGGTACATTGACGTTGCGGTAGACTTATGCAATGTATGATCATATACTGTAACTAAATCCCCATTATTTTTGGCAGGTGTTTTTATATGTTTTTTTTTTTTTTTACTATTTACATTTTGTGAGGTTTGAAGTTGATGTTTAGTGAATGAGTGAGCTGGATCTAGACATATGCACAGTGCATTCAGAAAGTATTCAGACCCTTTCATTCAGCCTTACCGACAAGTGTTTTAATTTTATTTCATCACATCAATCTACACTCAGCACCCCATAATGCTAAACAAACCCCCCAGCCCCCCAACCCTCCCCTCATCTTCAGATTTTTGGTACCATTGCAAATAAGTAAACAGGAAAAAATTTAATATTACATTGATATAAGTATTCAGATGCTTAACTCAGCACTTAGTTGAAGCACCATTAGCAGTGATTGCATCTTCAAGGTATGATGCAACATGCTTTGCACACCTGGATTTGGGTAGTTTCTGCCATTTGTCTCTGTAGATCTTCTCAAGCTCTGTCAGGTTAAATAGGACTGTTGGTGGACAGCAATTTTCAGGTCTTTCCAAAGATGTTCAACAGAGTTCAAGTCTGGGCTCTGGCTGGGCCACTGAGTAACATTCACAGACTTGTCTCTGAGCCATTCTTGCTCTGTCTTGGCTGTTTGATTAGGTTTGCTGTGCTGTTGCAAGTTGAATCTTTGGCACAGTCTGAAGTCCTGATGCTTTTATTAAGGATATATTTTTGCTATGTTCAGCTTTCCCTGTACCATGACAAGTCTCCAGTCCCTGCCACTGAAAAACACTCCCAAAGCATGATATTACCACCAATGTGCCACATCGTTGCAATGGTATTGCGCAAGAGATGCCCTTTTAAATGAAAGTCAGTTTGATTGTTATGAGAATCTTGTTTTTTTAGGTGATTTATTTGCAAATTGTATGCAGACATTCATGTGTCTTGCATTGAGGAGAGGCTTCCGTCTGGCCAGTCTGCTCTAAAGGCTAGGTTGGTGGAGTGTTTTAGTGATGGTTGCCATCTCCACACATGAATTCTGGAGCTCACACAGAGTGTTTTCTTTTTAATACATTTGCAAAGTTTTAAAAAATCTGTTTGCTGTGTCATTATTGGGTATTGAGTGCAGATTAATGTAAAACAAAATAATTAAGCAAATTGTAGCATAACTGCAACAGAAAAACAAATGAAAGAATCGGAATACTTTCTGAATGCACTATATACTGATCAGCCACAACATTAAAGCCACCTGCCTAATATCATGTAGGTCCCCCTCTGCCAAAACAGTTGTGATGTGTCGAGGCATGGACTCCTAAAGACATCTGCATGTGTCCTATGTTATCTGGCACCAAGACATTAGCAGCAGATCCTTTAAGTCCTGCAAGTTTTGATGTAGGTTCTCCAAGGATGGAATTAGTTGTTTCAGCACATAACACAGATGCTCAATTGGATTGAGATCTGGAAAATTTGCAGACCAAGGTAACATTGTGAGCTTTTTGTTGTGTTTCTCAAACCATTCCTGCCTGAACAATATTTGCAGTGTGGCAGGGTGCATTATCCAGCTGAAAGAGGCCACTGCCATCAGGGAACACCATCGCCATGAAGAGATGTATGTGGTCTGCAACAATCTCTAGTTAGGTAGATCAAGTCAAAGTAACATCCATGTGATTGCAAGGCCCCAACAGGTTGCCCACAGCATAACATTGCCACTGATTGCGTGCCTCCTTCCCATAGAGCATCCTGCTGCCATCTCCTCCCCAGGTAAACCACTCACACGCATCCGTCAAAAAGAAAACATGGTTCATCAGACCAGACAACCTTCTTCAGTTGCTCCATGGTCAAGATCTTATGCTCGTGTCCACATTGAAGATGTTTTGGCAGTGGACAGGGGTCATCATGGACACTGACCAGTATATAGGTATGCAGCAGACTGTGATGCACTGTGTGTTCTGACACCTTTCTATCATAACCAGCATTAAGTTTCTTCAGCAGTTGAACTGCTGTACCTCTTCTGTGTGATGAGACCAGATGGGCTAGCCTTCACTTCCCATGTGCATCAATGAGCCTTGGGCATCCATGACCCTGGCATTGGTTCACTGGTAGTCCTTTCTTGCACCACTTTTGGTAGGTACTAACTACTGCATACCGGGACTTGCAGTCTTGGAAATGCTTTGATCCAGTCACCTAACCATCACTATTTGGCCCTTGTCAAAGTCACTGAGATCTTTTCGTTTGTCCATTTTTCCTGCTTCCAACACATAAAATTCAAGAACCGACTGTTCACTTGCTGCCTAATATATCCAACCCCTTGGCAGGTGCTATTGTAACAATATAATCAATGTTATTCACTTCACCTGTCCGTGGTTTTAATGTTGTGGCTGATCACAACATTGTGTGTATACACAGTACACACACTAACATGTGTGTGTATTTTAAATGTCAGCAGATCGTTTGAAATAGCAACTTTTATTGAAAAGCTTGAAAAGACTTAATGCTTCTGAAGTGGAAAACTTGGAAATGAACTGTTTCAAGGGCATTTTCAAAGCCTTTTCTCCCATGTTAGAATTACAAGTTTTATATCAGTTATTGACAGAAACGCTTCCTCTGAAGAAATGTGAAACATGTTCCTTTGTAGATCTGTGAAATATGTGATTATGGGTTAGTTTAAAATCCCCTGAAGTGGTTATTCTGACAAAAGAATATCAAATTTAAATCAATTATTCTTCTAATAAAAAGGATATAGATTGTGTGATGAAGATACTATATAGTATTTTCAATATAAAGTTACTCTTTCAAGACTTTTATGTTAGTTCTGCTGCTTTCTTCTTCTAAATAGTTACAGTATTTATTATTGTGATATAATTGAACAGGTAAAACAGTTTAATCTCAAATCCAGATGTGTTCTTCACCTTTCTTGCCTGGTTCATACAGTGCTATGGAAAATCCCCACAATACTGGAGTAGAATGCTCATTCCTGCTACCTCTACCCCTTGTGTCCTCTGTCCTACTTCCTACTTGTTACTTTGCAAAATCCATCTAGAAAAGGAGGCTAGTCTACCAGCTTATGGAAAACAAGGATGTATTCAGTGCTTTTCAGATACTGAAACAGTCCAGAGGGCAGCTTGGTAACCAAAACCGGGGTCTCTCGTCCTACAGAGAAGCAGGAAAAAATACAGAAAAGAGGTGTAGCTCCCAAAATGTCTTTAGAGTATAAAAACAGGGGGAAAATTGAGAACTAATAGTGAAGTATGCAAAAATTCCAATAAATAACCATTAAAAGTAAATACACTCATACTTTTAAGGAGCTAATGTGTAGCTCCAACTTGAGCTCCTGGGCGGAATGATCCCCACCTATGGATATAGTGGAGTATGAACTCTTGCAGTGGGTTTTTGTGGTCGTGGTGGTGGCTGTGTTCCAGAGCCTAGAGAGCAGCTTATCTTGCCATTGCACATTACACATGTAATAGCCTGCCAGAAAATATAAAATCTGCCACCCATCTAAAGTCCCTGAAACCACCGGCATTCATCTACCTTCAAATTAAAAGTAACTGCACTCATTGCTCATGTATAGTTATATTGTATATGTATATATTGTATTGTATATGTCAATTATCTGTGTAACGATGTATTCATAATTGTACCCTATATGTCTTCTATTATATGTGAACACTGTACTTACTGAAAATTAGAGAAATTTTAATGTATCCTTCTTTGAACATACACTCGATAAACACATTCAAAAGTGACTGCATGGCAGAGATTTCATTAAACAAGTTATTAAATGCACATTTTGTTCAAATGATGCATTATATAAAATACATGATTAAGCTCGATGTTGTGGATAAAACACACTAGTTTGCTGACTTCATGTATTTTACTAAAATTTTAAAATATTGTATTTAAATTAATCTGTTTTGCTTTTCTGGTCCAGCTTAGTGTACGTGCAATGCCAATTCTGTGTATGGGTGTTTTTGGTTTTTACGCTTTTTTTCCGCTGCTAATTACCATTTCATCCAGCACCCAATGTATCTTACCAATGGCCTAACAATTTTCTCTGGATTTCTCTATAAATAACAGATGGGTTCTCCTGGATTCATGAGGTGTGATATCATGCATTTCTATGACCACCATGAACCAGACTTTCCCAATGTGATGGAGCCACGTATGCTTTAGAGACACAGACTACTTTTTGGAACTCCACTGCCACCAAAGAATAATTTTTTTGAAACAGAACTTTAAATAAACAATAATACTACTACTTGATCTATGCCTATATATTCTTTTGCTTTCTGGTAAACGTCTCCCACCTTGTATTATCATACATATATATGTTTTTCTGTGTCACATAAAAAATATAACACAGTCAGACTTTCTTGGCTTTTCTTATAAAAACTGGATTATTCTTCTTACTTCACAAATAGAAAGTCAGTTCTTACAACGTCAGTGATATTAAATGGTCAACAGCTGATGAGATTTACTGGACATCTTATTCATGTTCTGTGTCTCTATGTCTCCTCTTACATAATGCTCTCTAAATATACACCACAAGGGTGAAGATCTTTACAAAGTCAATGCTATAGATACAATATTCTTGTTGGCAAATCTAATAACCATTTAAGGTCACCTTCATGTTCTATGAATACTTAAATAGAAAATAACTATAGGTATCATCTGTTTATGTCACTCAAGATCAACCATGCCTAAAAGCGTGGAATGAATGTAAGAAAATCCCCCCAAAATTTATATCTAACCTGTTGGCAACAAAAGTGAGTACACCCCTAAGTGAAAATGTCCAAATTAGGCCCAATTAGTCATTTCCCCTCCCTGGTGTCATGCAACTCATTAGTGTTACAAGGTCTCAGGTGTGAATGGGGAGCAGGTGTGTTAAATCTGGTGTTATCGCTCTCACACTCTCTCATACTGGTCACTGGAAGTTCAACATGGCACCTCATGGCAAAGAACTAGACGAGGATCTGAAAAAAATAATTTTTGCTTTACATAAAGATGGCCTAGGCTATAAGAAGATTGCCAAAACCCTGAAACTGAGCTGCAGCATGGTGGGCAAGACCATACAGTGTTTTCACAGGGCAGGTTCCACTCAGAACATGCCTCGCCATTGTTGACCCAAGGAGTTGAGTGCACGTGCTCAGCATCATATCCAGAGGTTGTCTTTGGGAAACAGATGTATGAGTGCTGCCATCATTGCTGCAGAGGTGGAAGGGGTGGGGGGTCAGTGCATCATACGCCGCACACTGTATCAAATTGGTACAAAGATAAGTGTTGTAACCGCGGCTGGTTCCCTTATTTACCACTATAACGTGTTAAAGCATGGAACTTAGCAGGGCTAACCATACAGATATATTAGCCATAATTGTATATAGTTAGTAAGAGATCCTCTATTTAACATATATAAATAATGTGCAATATGCATTTTATCCACAACTCTAAGCCTACCAGATCCTAGGGTAACCAATCTGCCATTCCTAGGATGTCTCTGTGGCAGTGGCTTTGCAGCAGTTCCAGCCTGAGTTTGTTTACCAGATAATATTCAAATAAAATTTAAAAAAATACAGCATATTAGGCAAGTTTTCTATATTATTAAATTTTCAGGATGCTTCATTGTAAATTATGTTTTCAAATCGTCTGTTCCCCTGCATCTTCCTCTATATCAAGCAAGGTTTAAATATCTTAAGATCATATTTAATCTCAAGCACATTTGTCATTTTGAGGCCAAAACCTGGTAGAAATATTTAAAGTGTGATTAATGTCAGCTCTGTTAAAACAGCGACTCTTGGCTGACTTTCTACAGCTGGACTTGATTCTGTGACATTAAAGTTATATCTGCTCATATCTATTATATTGGAGAGAAACTTTTTTTTTTTTATATGTAGAGGGTGTCAAAAGTCACTGAATGTACACTGCGGTAAAATAATATTCCAATTATATTTTTATGATAAAATGCCATTTCTTTATCACTGTGTTTTATTTTAGAATAATAGGCTCCAACAAAGCTGAAAATAGCGATGACCATGCTGCCTCCCCCCAATTATTAAACATTTTTACGACACTGGAGAAGCTGGTATTTTGGGAAAATAACAACGGCATATATTTTTGCCTTTTGTTTTCGATTCAGTTTTCACTTCACAAAACATGTTTAAAATATAAGACCCTAAGAGTGAGAAAATTGCCACAGTTAAAAACAATTGATGCTTGGAAGTGTAAAAAAGATATCGGATGACTATACACACTCATTAAAAATGCCATTTATATTGTTGTAAAGTCTGAAAGTTATAAAGTATCATGTTAAAAGATCACCTGTAGATATATCATAAGCACAGTAGAAAAATCATTTTACTTAGAAAAAAAGAATTATTAGCATTCATTAATGCTTTGGTCAACGCATTTTTTTTATTTTGTATGTTTATTGTGTTTAGCATTAACAACAACTTGGTATAAAATTAAAATAATTTGAATTACTTTTAAAGAAAGAACATTTGTTCCTACAGGATCTTCTTAAAGGTGTATGCTGGGTGCATACTGCAGAGATAGTTAATGTTCACATAAAGTAAACAATAGCATTTTATTGCTGAAAAATTGTTAAACTTTTTTTGAAGGCACTACATGTATCATGTAAACACCATCAGTAAAAGACAGAGGAAAACATGTACCATAAGCACTTTGCAAAGATCAGATCTTCTCTCAAGATGACTTTGCAAACATAAATCACATCAGAATTTACGTTAAACTATAGTAAATTATTATAGCAGTAATTGTCCAATTCCTTCATAAAACAATCATTTTGTCTATTCACAGATGTCTGAAAAACAACCAATGTTCTAAAAATGTTTACAAGAAGTGACATAGCCAGAAAACCTGTTGTGATAAAATTGTGAATGTCATAAAAAGCACAAACAGTGATTACGTAAAACATATTTACGCAAAATTTTAAATACATTTCTTGAAAATAAAAAGTTTACAAGAAAGCATACGTTCAGTCTCTTAAAATGAATGCATCCTGTATGACGAGATACATTTAACATGTAAATGATTGTAGGTTTTAAAAGACACACTACATAGCTTAGCACCTAGACAACATGCTTTGTATTTTCAAATATGGTGGTAGCTGCATCGCATATGTTCTTTCTTCAGCGATGATTGGATTCTGCTCAGGATATAGGGAGAATGACTAGTTCCCGATAACAGGGATTTCATGCTGAAATTAACCAAGGAATAGCTAAAGAAACAAATATCAATATCCTGAATTCCCATGTGCATGCTCTATGGTAATTGCACAAAGCATACTAAATTAGCTTTTTAATACCTAAGCAATATTACTATTCTAGATAACAACCAACCTTTAGAAAATTATACCACATTTTTATGTGCAAGAAGTTTCACTGGGTCATAGCATTATTACAGTCAGGAAGGGAGGAGGAGTGAATGGACTCTACCATTTCACTAGAACAAGCACATCCAATGGTTTCTTGAAGTATAGAACAAAAGACAACGTTTAAGCACCTCGCCGGGCTTTTGTCAAGTCCCAGAGTGGTGTCAAAACAAGTGTATTTTGCTCTGTACTTCAAATAAAAGACAAAAAAAACAACTATATGGTATGCCCAGAATTATGTACTTGTTCTTGTTGGATCTAGTTAGAAACCTGGCCCTCCTGTTTTGGACCATCCTGGTGGGAGTATTCACAAAACAATGTTTGTGCATTAATCTCTTAACATTGAACGTCTACCATTTCACTGTCAGCATCACATTAGCAGTTCAGAGATTGATAAATATTGCTACAGCAGTTTTAAATATATTTATATTAGAAATATATGACTTAACTGTATTTACTAAATGTGGGCAGACATTCTTTTTACATTACATGTACCTACAGGGTCCTTACAAATACCTACAAGCAAGATGTTTGACCAATTTGAGTTATATGTTTTTGTCACAGCATTTTTGCTTATATACTAACATGTCAGACCCTGTGTAAAATATTACAAGATAGATGACACTGTATACTGTCTAAAGTTCTCTAAACTGGAAAGAATATTATAAGTGAAATAAAGTTTTCTTGGTCTATTAGTTGTCTTTTATTGTTTAACTTGACTTATTATTCGGTTTCCTTTTCTGATTTCAGAAAATGTTCAGAAAAAAAAATCTTATGGATTATAGATTGTATCAGCTAATCAAACTGTTAAAGGCCAAAAACCCTTGTTAAGGTTCATGGTCTAACATATATTTGCTTTCCCCTGTGTCTGTAATGTCATTGCAAAGCTGTTTGATCTCTTGTGCGCCCTGGTGTTCACATATAGTTTCCATTTGATAACATGACCACCACTGCGTTATGTACAACCTAAACATAAAACAGATCTCTGTTCAAACACAAAATAAGACCAAAGATTATCCCAATAAAAACATAAAGGCCATGTTTTACTCTTTGTTACATCATTTAAAGTGAAGTGCCAAAAAATCTCCTGGAATCGCGAAGAAATAATATGCCCAGATAAAAACAACAACAACAAAAAATAGTGTGATACGGTCAATGTTCAAACAGAGATAATTATATATTTAAAATATAAAAGAAAGAAAGAAAAAAGACGGAGTAACGTTTGAAAACTTTTCTCGACCTGCGAGATTTGAACGGACGTGAAGTCCTTGCTGAAATTCTATCTACGTCCCAGCGGGTCTGGTAATTCAGAACTTACATGGAACCTATTGTAGCCATTCCAGTGATCCTGAGCTCTTGCAACTTCTACTCGTGCTTTAGCTGACTAGGAGATCTGAAACTTGTGCCAACTAGCCAAGTGTTGCAAATGAGGATGGACTCCTGATATCGCTACTGCTGACTGCATTTTACATGGGCACTTGTGAGTAGCAGCGATCGGCTGCATATGCTCATCATCTTTTATTCAGGAAGGGGCTATTTTACCCACTATGTT